AGCCTGAGGTCTGCTCAGGCCATGACAGGAGGCTTAGGGGGTTTTGGGGACAGGGGCCCCTCAGCTACACGAAGGGCCCGGCCTGGGGCCTCAGTCACCAGTGCTCCCCGGCAGTTCCTCAGTGCGATGCAGAGCTCACTTGGACCTGAGCCCTCAAGCCCATTCCTCTCCGTCCCTGTGTCTGTGCCTGTCTTGGACGTCCGCTCGGGAGTCTCTGGCCCCCACTTGCTCTCCGAGAAGGGAGCCCTGCAGTCCCGAGCCTCTCAGCGGCATCGCAGCTCCATCAGGGGCCAGGGGTCCCGCCCCCCAGACTCCCCTCAGCTTGTGAGTAGCAGCCCCACCCTGGGCAAGGCATTCTGTGGGGTAGAGGAAATGGTGCAGGTTGTCCCGGGACCCTGAGGGAGCAGGAAAGATGGAAACAGGAGGAAAGGGTGGGCAGAGACCAAGTTGCAGGGGCAGGAAGAGGGCAGTGGGGAAGAGGGAGGGCCATGAGGAAAAGGTGGGGGTGGGGCCTGGCAGGTTTTTGGGCTGGTCTCCAAGCCCCTTTCCCAGGGCCCACCTCTCAGGCTTGTGGTTTGGGTCCCCAGGTCTCCCCTGCAACGGAAGTTTCACCCGACCCCCTGCCACCTCCCCCAGGTGAGTGGAGGCCCCTGCCTCTTTCTGGGAGAACTCCGGGTGTTGGTTCCAAAAAGGCACATGCATCTCTGTCCTCCCCACCAGATGGTCGTCCCCCCAGGAGCTACGACAGCATTTGGGACAAGGCTCTGTCCCCTTCCCACCAGCAGTGGTCTCGAGGAGCACCTCAGGCTGGAGAGGGGGTGGTCCAGTGGATCTGACGGCACCCAGGAGGCTGCTTCTCGGGACCACCTGCCAGCACCGACCCTAGAGGAGGGTCTGCCACAGGGCCGGGGTCTCTCTTTGTGGAGCCACAGGCATCTAATACCGAGTCAGGGTCTGACCCCAGCAGGGTAGAGGGAGTCTCCAGGACCCTGAGTGGCCCTGGGCTCTGGAGGGACCAGGAGGGTCTCACCCTGAGGACGCCTTGGCCAAGGTGACTGGATGTCCAGCGGGGCCGAACCTCGACCTGCCTCCCAGGGAAGGAAGGAGGGAGGGGACTTGGGCTGGGGCTTCTCCTGGGAGAGGGAGGATGGCACAAGTGTAAAGGTCAGAGGGCTGAGAAAGTCAGGTTAGTGAGGGTCAGAGTATGTGAGGTCAGAGGGCACAAGTGTCGGAGATCAGCAAGATCTGAGACATTTACAAGCAGAGGAAGGAGGATCGCCTGGGTGCATGTGAGTGGGGGTGGGGCTGGTCTGGAGAAACTGGCAAGAGACTAAACAAGAAAGAAAGAGGAGATTTTATTGGGGCTGTGTATCCACATGTTCTGTCCTCAGCAGCCAGGCATCTCCTGCATCCTGGGGACCTGTACACGCTGCCTCAGGGCTGGACGCCCACTGAGCCCCTGCCGGGCAGTCCCCACTACTCTACCACCACCAGTGCCCCTCCCACCTTCCTGTCCCACCTCTGGCTCCTCTCAGACCTGGGACAATCCCAGGTTCCAGTCCCTCCCCTGATACCCTTGCCTTCTGCCTCAGCACCTCATCCAGGGCTACCCAGAGGAGGGGCTCCAGACTCGCCCTATGGACCCCCACCCTGCTGGGCCTCGGTAGATACCTGCTCACCGTCTCAAGGAGGCCTTGACCATAGACCCCTGGGGTTCAGAGGTCAAAGAGGCCTCAGAGGCCTCTGCCAGCCCAGCCCACTTGTACACAAGGTAGAGCGTCCCTGGGACAGTGCCCACCCCCAGCCTTGAGGCCACGTAGCCTCCCTGCCCTCACCCCCTGCTCAGACGTCCAGCTGGGGCCTTGCCGCTGCTCTGAAGCCCTCTGAGCTCCAGCGCCCCATCGTGCCCCGCCACCAACAGGAGAGCAATGTAGGGTCAGGACACCAGTTAACTTTGGTTTCAGATAAGCCACAAACAACTTCTTAGCATAAACACGTCTCAAATACTGCATGTCTGGGATTCCAGTTTCACTGGATGCCCTGTGTTTTTATCTGCTAATCTGGCCACCTTACTAACCAGCTCCTTGCTTGGCCCCTACCCACCCAGCCTTCCAAAATCTCCCCACTCCTAGGTATGGAGCACAGCCTTGGCCTGGGCCACTGGCCGGACTCTCAGGTGGCGTCCAGGGGGGCCAGGACCCAGGACACTGGCTCCTTCCTAGATGCCACAGAACCCAAAGGTCAAAGGACAAGGCCTGAGGGCAGCACCTCATCCTTAGCACCCGTGCACGTTTCCTTGTTCTGTGTCTTCTGTGCCAAGTCTGGGTCCTAGGAGCTGGGGCTGGGGCTGGGGCTGGGGCGCTCTCGCCCCGCCTGCCGGCGGAAGTATCGGATGGCAGAGATGGTGCCGATGTTGGCCAGCAGGACTGCAAGGGAAGCACAAGGCCTAGTGCAGGCTCCGTCCCATCCTGGCCACCACCTCCCACCTGCGTGGCCTGGCCCTCGAAGGATGGGAGGGGGGTGGTGGGGCGGGGGTGGGTCCACAACACAGGAGAAAGGTCAGGGGAGAAACCTGTGCCTCCCCAGATCCCCTGCACCCCTGTGGGCCCAGCAGGTGGGACTGGACACCACTGCCCCTCCATTTTGGCTTCTGGACACCGCCCACTCCCCCAGGGCCCGCAAACCTGTTTTCCAGGCATCTGGGGCCTGCAGATCTGATGTTCTCACAGCCCAGGTAGCAAAGGCCACAAACACCAGGCACATGTCATTCTGGCTGAAGGTAAATGAGGTGAGGGGACTCCGGGGTTCCTCTAAAAGAGAAGCACGTCATGAGCCCCTGCTGCCCTACTTGGACACACCCACCCTGGGACACAGCTGTCCTGGCCACGTCTGTCCTGAGTCACATCCTCCCCATGGTGCCTCTGTCCCAAGTCACAGGGTAGTTAATGTGTGGCCTAGTTGAGTCAGGCCAACTTGGGCACTACTTCCTGGTTTGAAAAATGTCTTCCAGAGGGAATGTGAAATGGACTGTATTGCGTGCCTGAGCTGGAGGCGTCCCAGCTCCTGCCCTGCTACAGGCTGAGGGCAGATGCTGCTGTTGTCTGGGGGTGATGGTCAGTGAGGAGCCAAAGCCCTGCCTGGCCTGGGCTTCCCCACCTAGACTGTGTCCTGGGATGGCCAGGAGCTGGTCCTTCTTTCCCAGATCATCCCAGAGGCCCCCCACCAGCTCATGACCCGGGGTCCTGGCCTGCCCTGCCCCCGCCCAGGGTCCTCTTGGCTGAACTCCCTGGACAGTGTGTTCCCAGGTCCTGGACAGGCCGTGGGGCCCCTGCAACACACACCTGCTTGCCTGATGGCCAGGTTGAGCTGCTCTGCCGTGGCTGGGTTAAACTCTGGTGGGGTGCCAGTCACCACTCCCCAGGAGACTGACCTGGGGGCCTCCATGGCCTGCATCTGGAGAAGGGCAGCAGGCCCCAGCACGCCCCCTGACCTGTCCTCCCCGAGGAAGTGTTCATAGGCCTCAGGGATGGAGATGGGCATGGGGTCTCCAGGTGGAGGGGCTGGCACAGGCTCAGCTTGTAGGGGTGGGGCCAGGGAGTGGCCCTCCCACCGACCTGACCTCTGGGCTCTGCAGTCCTGGAAGAAGAACTCGCACACCTCTGGCCACTGGACATCAGCCGGGGCCGGGCAAGCCTCTGCTGCCCCCTCGGCATCTTCATCCTCCTCGTGGATCGTGTCACAGAGAAAGAACTCATAGGCCTCTGGGAGGGTCACCGCGAAGCAACTCCTGGGCCCAGGTCCCCCTGAGGCAGAGGGGGCAGGGGGAGGCAGGTGCTTCAGGATTCGAGGCTGGGGGGACCGGGGCCCAACTGCCACAGCATCCCAGGCTCCAGACCCCCTGCGGCCCCCAGCTGCTGTCCTGGGGGCTGTGGCTGGAGAGGGTGGGCTCGCGGCTTCTCCTGGCCCTGGTTCCTCAGGGCTGGGCCCAGCCATGGAGAATCTCACTTTCTTCTTCTTGGGGGCTTGGACAGGGCCTAGGTGGGTCTCCCCTGTGTGGTGTCCAGGGGCACCTGCTGAGGGCTCCTCTCCAAGCTTCTCTTGGTGCTCCCATGGAGACTGAACAGGGTTCAAAACCAGCTGGGCCACTGGGGCAACTTCCGCCTCCACCATGTCAGGCCCAGCCTGGGGAATGGGAGCAGGTGTGGACACCCCCACATCAGACCCAGCCTCAGAAACAAGGTGAGGCAGAGCTGTACATGGTATAGTCTTTGAGACAGATGAAGATGAGTCCACCTCCAGCCTGACCTCTGGGTCTGGCATAAGCAGGTCCACATCCAGTCTAGGCTTGGATGCGGGTGTAGACAGAGGCAAGTCCGGTTGAGGCTGGGAGGCAGGTGTGGACAGAGGCAAGTCCGGTTGAGGCTGGGAGGCAGGTGTGGACAGAGGCAAGTCCGGTTGAGGCTGGGAGGCAGGTGTGGACAGAGGCAAGTCC